GGGGGGGGGGGGGTACCGGCCGGCACTCCCCACTCCCTGGCTGGTGAGGCCCAATATCGGGGGGGGCACATGCCCCCCAACCCCGCCATGTTCCCTCTATGCATCGCCTACAGACTAAATCATACCCTTTGGCCCGTACCAGGTCCAGCAGCGCCTTGCCCCTTGTCGGTCCACAGACTTCTCGAGACAAATAAAGCTCATCAGTGTTTGTGAGGAAGCACTGCAACTGATTGGATTTGGCTGAGTGCTCTTCTCATGAGATGTCAGGGTAGCTAGTCATCCATGACAATTGTGCACCAAGAGCATGCAACCTCAGACAGTTCCCTGGCAAACTCATGGTCAAGTTCTTGCTTTTGATTAGGAAGTCTCTAGTAGACTCCTACCATTATATCCCCTTCACCACATTCCCCCCCTTATTCTTACCTAGACGTTCTCAAGTCGCACTCCTTGGTTGCCAATCTCACCTTGTAAGGAAATGTATTGCTCTTTTACATAGAAAGCTACACCCCCACTCTTTCTTGTAACATGATCTCTCCTGTACAGGGTATAGCCATCTACACCTGTGGTCCAGTCATAGGTGGAGTCCCAGCAGGTCTCTGTTATCCCTATAGGATTGTAATCATTACTGTTTAGGAGTAGAGCCAACTCCTCCTGTTTGTTGTCCAGGCTCCTGGCATTTGTGTAAAGGCAAGTGAGCTTGCCATTGAAGGTCCTAAGTTTCCCTGCATTCCTGGAAAAAGCCTGGTCCCTGGGGTGGGGTAGGAGTTTGTTTCCTTGTACAGCCTGACCTAAGGGTTTGGTGGCTGATGCTTGGTGGGCTTGCACCAGTGATTATGTGCCCATCCCCTGGCAAACTTAGTTAAAAGCCCAGTCAAGCAGGTCAGCCATTCTGGCTGTCGCATGTATTAGTGTCCCCACACTTCAAAATGGCAGTAAGGGTGCTTGAATTAAAGCTTGTTGAATGAGTTTTAGTTCAAGCACCCCTGCCAACATTTTGAAGCACAGGGGTGCTAATACATGGAACACTGCAGCACTTTAATTAGAGACCCTCTTGGAACTCCTCTAGTTAAAGCATCGCTCCACCCCTGGAGTACATGTAAAAGTGTCCATAGGTACTAAATTTAATGTGCATTAGGAAAAGGACATTAATGCACATGTAGACATGCTCAGGGGCTTTCAGGTCACTGGATCCCAAGACATTTTTACAAATTTTAAGAAAAGAGATCTAAATGAGATATACAGAGATCACTTTGCTATCCCTTCAATTACAGCTACTTCTATAGGCAATGGAGAAAATTATTTAAGGGGATGTAGAAATATTACATGCAATTTAATACAGGAGCTGAAGGAGAATACAAGAAGTGGAATGTAATATTTTGTGTTAAAATTTAGTGAAAACACAAAGGAGCTCATTACAAACAGGGGCAGGGAATTTTTAAGAAAGACAAGGGCCAAAACAAAGGGCGTGTGTTCAGTAATGACTTACTGAATCTCTATCATAATCTGCTGCTGCTGCACGTAAATATTCCTTGGAAACCTCATAACCAAGTGACCACTGGGGACAAACTGCTGAGTCACAGCACCTGACACTTGTAAAGTCAAGATGCCACTGGCAACCCTTTTTCCTCTGTAACAGTCCTGATCGAACCTGGCAATCTTTAACTCAAAGAAGATTTTCATGCGCATTAAAGCTTATTAAAGTTATGCCTGCAGCAATTTGGGGTGCTGGCATGTATCACTTAGGAATGTTTTGTGAGGCAAACGCTCTGCCAACTCTATTTTGAATATTCAGTCTTTTGTTTCTCTGTTGTCTTTTCACCTCTGTGCTGGGCGATAACTCCAAAGAGAGGGTTACTGAACTAATACAAGAGGGTCATTCAATGAAGGTGGTCCTTTCATCAAATACAAACAGCCTAGATCAGGTATGTCAAAGATGTATCCCATTGGGCTCCAGGCCAAAGGGGCCTGGAATTCTGGGGAAAGGTGAGGGGGTAGAGCTCACTATTAAGCTCCAAGCTAGGGAGCCCTATTGGGGACATATGTCGTCAGCAGGGTCAAG